AAAAAAAAAATGGTGGAAAATGTTTTCCCATCAAATAGGTGAGAAAACAAAATCAAGTTTTTGTGCATCAAATGATTGTACCTAGAAAAAGGTGGAAAACCAATTCCAGGGAAAAAAAGTGAAATCAAACACGACAAAAGTAGGAAACGGAATTTCAATTCCAACTTCCATGAAAAATAAAGGGCTATCAAACAGGCCCTTATTTAAGTTTCTATAAAATTTCAATGTATACATTAATTATTGATCTGGAATAATTAAGATAATACAAAAAATAAAACAGCAATATATTATCTCAAGACTTCACTTAGTCATTCTTAAACTCGCAAGACTTGAGAGTTGATCCCAACGAGTTTAACGTTTTGGAACTTTGAATATTTTACTCATTAAACAATTGAAGGTGCATCATGTTTCCACTTAGATTGGTCTCATATGCTCTTCCAATTGATATCTACTCGGACAAGGTGACATGACTAACTAATGAGTCGCCATTCTGGTAAAAAAAAATTGCAATTTAGCACTAATAATCTTTCAATCGTGCTATTTGTACAATTTTTATTTATTTTACCAATTACGGTTAACAATTCACACTTACCAACATCACATTCATCTGTTTTAAAAATTATTTTTTTAAATCAATGACCCCAATTTTGACAATATCAATGTTGTCAACAACAATTCTACAAATAGGTTAATTCATAGTCTTTAGCACTTGTTGGATATCACATATGAAACACTAAAGGATAGATAATCGCTCTTTCAATAAAAAACACTTCACCACCCAATTACGAGTAATGTTTTAGCATCGGCAGTGCTTAACATTAGCATAAGAAACACCTAATTTTCTGATTCATTATTTAATGGAGTTCAAATCTATTTTAATTTATTTGACAATAAAACTTTGCAGACCTACAAGAATTTAAGTTGGTGTTAAGCAGTACTAATAATACGTAACATTATTTCCTAGTTGCACCACTTGCTTGGATTTTTTCTCCTCGAAGTAATTCTGATATAAACCAAACATTTATTAAGGGCCAAACGGGGGCTTAACTGGAAGGTGGGAAAAGGTGCATCTTTTTGTTTGATGAATACTATTTTCTTATTTCTAAATCCCGCACTAAAAAAAGTTCAATCACTGTCATAACATAAAAAAGAAAAATAATAAATGCTCCAAAAAAATCCAACCTGGCCTACATTATGCGCACAAACCCATCTTTTTTATGTTCAAAATCAGAACAATCGAGATTTTTAAAAAAAAATCGAAGCATTCATCATTCTCTATCTCATTTCTCTGTCCAGTTTATGTTCGAAATGTTTCGCGGCTTTCGATTTCCCATAGACAAAAAGTTAGGCAATGTTCGTGGAATTATGCTTGATATACATAAAAAGTGTACATAAGGGTATCCATTCCCTCACATGGGGTGGGACCCATGTCCATTCCCCCATGTATGTACAACAATTATGTACACCAAACAAGGTCCTTATTTATGATATGTACGTATCTAATATGATTATATGAATTAAATACTAAGTAATTATATTATTCATGATTTTGAGAGTTATGCTTTCTTTTTCTTTTTTTTTTTTGAAAATTTGAAAAGTACTTATTTAAGTTTCTATAAAATTTCAATGTATGCATTAATTATTGATCTGGAATAATTAAGGTAATACAAAAAATAAAACAGCAATATATTATCTCAAGACTTCACTTAGTCATTCTTAAACTCGCAAGACTTGAGACTTGATCCCAACGAGTTTAACGTTTTGGAACTTTGAATATTTTACTCATTAAACAATTGAAGATGCATCATGTTTCCACTTGGATTGGTCTCTTATACTCTTCCAATTGATATCTACTAGGACAAGGTGACATGACTAACTAATGAGTCGGCTTTCTGGTAAAAAAAAATTGCAATTTAGCACTAATGATCTTTCAATCGTGCTACTTGTACAATTTTTATTTTTTTATCAATTACGGTTAACAACTCACACTTACCAACATCACATTCATCTGTTTTAAAAATTATTTTTTTAAATCAATGACCCCAATTTTGACAATATCAATGTTGTCAACAACAATTGTACAAATATGTTAATTTATAGTCTTTAGCACTCGTTAGATATCACATATGAAACATTAAAGGATAGTCTAAAAAGTATATATTACCCATTTAACTGAATATATAATTCAATTGGACACGAACTTATATTAAGTACAACATAGTGTTAAAAATACACTTACCACCCAATTACGAGTAATGTTTTAGCATCCGCAGTGCTTAACATTAGCATAAGAAACACCAAATCTATTTTAATTTATTCGACAATAAAACTTTGCAGACCTACAAGAATTTAAGTTGGTGTTAAGCAGTACTAATAATACGTAACATTATTTCCTAGTTGCACCACTTGCTTGGATTTTTTCTCCTCGAAGTAATTCTGATATAAACCAAACATTTATTACCAATTCATCGTCTTCCTTTAAAAATCACGCGGTGGTCTTGTATTAATTTATTTTCTGGGCCAACAATACCAAACTTTGATGCATGGAATTGGATAATTTAATTTCATGAGCATTCTGAGGACACTGTCCAAAGATGCATAAATATTTTTCTAGTGTTATCTTGAAGAATCTTTCAAGAGTAAAATTTAAAGAATAATGCTGTGAGTACAGGGGGGAAAAAAATACAGAATTGAATTTTGAATTTTACCTACATGGGAGTGGACCCATATAATTAAAATATTGGCAAAACCCCCCACACTCACCCATGACCAATTGCTATGTGTATTCAGTTTGGTACAGGAATTTGAATGTCTGTACCTATAGCACGGTTCAAATTTGAAACTGCCAGAACCTTATATTAACATAGATATAGAGGGTGGAATTAGCTTTTGCAATTCTTTTTTCAAAGTGCTTGTTTGGAAAAAAATTATAGTAACATAATAAATTATCGTTAAAAATAAATCTTAATTTGAACTTTAGAATTAGGCTAATAAGTAAAGAAAATAATATAATCTTTGAACCTTTGAATAAAGCTAAAAAAGAAATAAACTAATTTACAGCAAGTCAAATATAAATTTATAAAATCAATAGAAAAAATATCTCCCCAACAAAATTGTACAATCAATGAAATGTGGACTCGTCGCTGGTAAAGAAAGGAAAAAAAATACCTTAAAAAAATAAGAATAATGATATCTAACATTATTGATGTTTAAAATTAATTTTCATAAGATTTAATTTAATCTAAATGGGTCGTATATTTTTACATTTCATTGTATGTATATTATTTAACGTCAATATATTACCACCCAAACCGATATTATTAGGAGCAAAATTTAATAAAAAAAAAAACAACCAAGAGTAGGAGAAAATGAAAGAGACATTAAGACTGGGACAGCACAAATGGGAGAGGGGAGATCCCGCAATAAATGGGAGAGGGGAGATTTCGTTCCTAGTCGGAACTCAAAATTGAATAAAATTAAATCCAATTAACAGGATATTTGAATTCCGTGTCATACATTACAACCCCAAGGCCTATAAATTCACCGAGAAAATCCCACCACCCTCGCCTTGTGTAAGCATAGTTAGAGAGAGAGGGTGTTGGTTCAGTAACAAATCACCCAAAGCGAGCGACATTGCGGAGAGAGAGAGAATGGGCGGTTGGGCCATAGCGGTTCACGGCGGCGCTGGTGTGGATCCAAACCTCCCACAAGAGCGCCAAGAAGAGGCCAAACAACTCCTTACTCGATGCCTCAATCTTGGCATCTCCTCCCTTCGCTCCTCCTCGTCTGCTATCGATGTTGTTGAACTCGTCGTACGCTCCAACTCCTTATCTGTTCAATTGAAATAATTTTTCTTTCCATTCTTCTACGATGAATTTATTTTTGATTTAATTTACACTCGACATATTTTTCGTTTATTTCATAAATTAACGTTGATGATCTCAGATTCCATGCACTGCTGTTTTACAAATTTTGGTTCTGTACTCGAAAAATTTAAATTTTCCATTTTATTAATTTAACGTTTTGCTAATTTTGTGTGATGGTGCGTACGGTTGCATAGGTGCGCGAATTAGAAAGTGATCCCTTATTCAATTCCGGCCGTGGATCTGCACTGACTGAGAATGGAACGGTGGAGATGGAGGCCAGCATCATGGATGGTTCTGGCAGGAGATGCGGCGCCGTTTCGGGTATCACCACCGTGAAGAACCCTATTTCCCTTGCCCGCCTTGTGATGGAAAAGTCTCCCCATTCTTATCTTGCATTCTCTGGAGCGGAAGCATTTGCTAAACAACAGGTCTTATTCCTTCATAACTATTACTCTAATTATTTTAATTAATTTTCACTCCGAGACTCCAATATTCATGAATAACACGTGTGTAAAATGAGTCCATGCAAATTTAGTAACCTTGTCTAATTGTCCGTCACGCACAACGAATAAGCGAAATAGATAATTTAATGAAAAGGGTTTTTTAATTCAAAAATACTACTTTTTCAGTGATTAGAGGGCTGTAATTTTTACAATTAGAGACTGCCTTAAAAATTACAGTCCTCTAATTACCGTAAGTGTAGCAGTTTTCTTTTTAATTTGAATATGTTATATAATTGGCTTTTTCCGGGGTCAAAGGCCGTTACAGAATAGTATGTGTAACTTCTATTTTTAGTCCTAACCACGGTACGAATACTAAACATTCAAAAGAGTAACCAAAATTATTGTGCAATAGGGTTCTTTATGTGCTTAACTTAACTTCAAGTCCTTTATTTAAGTTTGAGGGTTTTGTTAGGGTGTGGAAACGGTGGACAATAATTACTTCATCACTGAGGACAACATCGGTATGCTCAAATTGGCAAAAGAAGCCAACAGCATCATGGTAACTTTTCAACTTAATTATTTTATTTATCTATTATGCTATGCAGCAACAGTAGTGCTACGATTCATCACCAATTGTAGGATATGGAGTTTACTACCACTTAGACCGGTGTTGAGCATCAATGGTGTTACGTATCGTTGTTCTCTTTGAAAAGCTAGCTAAGCATCTAATGCTATTGTTATGTGTATTTGACAGTTTGATTATAGGATTCCACTAGCTGGATCAGAATCATGTAGTGCAGTGGTGGAGAGCCCTATTCAAATGAACGGACTTCCAATTAGTGTTTATGCCCCCGAGACGGTTGGGTGTGTGGTGGTAGACAGCGAAGGTCGATGCGCTGCTGCCACGTCGACCGGTGGACTTATGAATAAAATGACAGGTCGCATAGGTGACTCCCCTCTAATTGGTGCTGGAACCTATGCGTGTGACTTGTGTGGTGTTTCGTGCACAGGTGAAGGCGAGGCCATTATACGTGGAACCCTGGCTCGTGATGTGGCGGCTCTTATGGAGTACAAAGGCTTAAACCTCCAGGAGGCCGTGGATTATGTGATCAAGAAGCGGCTGGACAACGGCAAGGCTGGGTTGATAGCTGTATCTAATAATGGCGAAGTGGCCTATGGGTTTAATTCAGTGGGGATGTTTAGGGGTTGTGCCACCGAAGATGGGTTCATGGACGTTAGTATTTGGGAGTAGGTGTCTTTATTAGAGAAAGTCTTGCTTTGGATGTTCTACATATGCCATAATAAAGCATTATGCAAACTTATAAGCATGATTTAGTACTAGCCAGCCTCGTCTCTTTTTCTTTTACTCATGGTGTGTCGGATTGAAATCAAGTCGTAGTTTGTCGTTATTGTAACTGCTTGACTTCCATCTTATAACAAAAGTTATGTGCTACACATTTCTTACCCAAAAAGCACGTTACAAAATCTGCATTGTACTAGTTTGATTGATCACTCATTTATAAGTTGTTATAACTAAAAGATATGGGCGAAGTGTAGATATAAAAATATCTGGATGAATATTGTCCACCAAAAAATTATTTTAGTTATTACCAGTGAGAAGCACGTGCCATGATATAGTTGACTACGTAATAACGTATGTATAAAAAAAAACATTTATGTCAAGCATTAGTTACATAAAATTTTTCGAGGCAACATAAAACATGAATATGCATGTACTGTTCATATGAACAGTACAAATAAAAACCAAAGTGACAAACAAACCTACTCTTAAAAAAGAAAAATAAAATAAAATACACACTCTTAAAAAAGAAAAAATAAATAAAATTTCATCTGTCCGTGCAGCAAGGAGAGAATCTCTCCATTCTGAGAATCCATGCCACGTGTTTTTTTTTCTTTAGCCTTATCCTTATATTTTTTTATTCAACAAAATTTAAAGGACCTAATAGTTCGTAAAACAGAAAAGGCAATAGCAGGAAGGATTATCGGGCGTGAGGAATGAATTCTCTAGATACACTATTGCCTTCTCATCTTGACTCCTCATATTGCTTCATGAAATCAAGTTCGTGACATATGACATGAATGTTTATTATACGTGCAGTATATATAAATTGGAAATCATTTCAAATGGAAAAACTTTTCAAATGTGAACCGGCATTGAGATTGAACTTCTATAAGTTACATGTCCAAGAATAAAGTACATCCTTGAAAGTATGTTCAAATTTGATACAGTGTTCGAAAGTTGAAAATTATTAACACGCTTTCTAGTATGTACCTAAGCGTGTTTTTATCATTTGTTCCCACAAAACGGCTCATTCGACTAACGCGACTCAACAATTTTAATAATTTTCAAATCATTTATTGGTGTGATTTAATTACTGTCACTGTTATATGTTAGAGATATATAGTCGCTTTTTTAATTTGATTTCAATAAATTGATGTATGATTGTGATTTGGGAATCATAAATTCTAGGATTACATGTGAAATTTAATTGGTTTGTATTGTTCAATCAACCGATTAGAGAGTTAGGATAAAAACTTCTAATTGAGTAGAGAATGTATGGATGACTGATGTTGATTGATCCAATCTAGTTGAGAGAATCCTGACGCTTCATTATTTTACATATTATCTTAATTCTCATCATCATTTCTGGTGATTTACTACATTTTTATGCAATAAAAAAAATTCCCTTTATCAAATTCACGAGAACCCTAAATTTTTGAACCACTTGAATCCCTTTTCCATTTCCCTGTAGATACGACACTCCAAAACTATACTACAACACCGCATAACACTTTGGGCATAATTAGCTTCCCTCTTCCTTCTAGACCTTTCCCCTTGTCTCGATCGTTTCTCAGGCGCTTGACATGACTAATGTATGAACTTAGAAAATCCCCTTTTTATTAGAGCCTCAATCTCGTGCTGGAGGGCTTTGCAGTTCTCCGTTGTATGCCCATGATCCCGATGGTAATCACAATACTTGCTCATGTCTCGAGTATTGGAAGGAGACTGCATCCTTGAAGGTCATTTAAACTCCTTCATATCCTTGATCTACATCAGAAAATTAGACTTGGAAGTGTTCAAATGATTTAGTGATGTCGGTTGTGCCTCATGCCTCTTCTTGTTCCTATTAACTTCCGGACGAAGATTAAAATCGTGTTGGCTATTGTGTTCGGACTTCTTCGTGGTCGGGTGAGGATTCTCCCTTGGGTTAAGTGTTTCCTCCATATTAATATATTTTTCTGCTCGGGTAAGTAGCTCGGTCGAGTATTTGAAGTCTTTCTTTATTTAACCTTGTCGTGAAGTTACGCAGGGATTCATTCGGTCCTTGCCTGAGCTGCATGAGGGATGCACTTGTCTTTTTGATGCGTTTGCTATTGGCAAAGAAGGCAGAAACTTGTCGGCCAAGTCAGAGAATGAAGCAATGGAATTGTCGGAGGATGCACCTGTGCTGGATAGGCATCCCTTTGGCTTAGTGAGCTAGGGGCTCCACAACAGGTGGTGGGTCTGGTGTAGATGTGCTTGCTGGAGGAAGACCAAAAACGTGTCTTGACCATGACTTTTGGTAGCGATTCCCACAAACGACGCCAATGATGCTACCAAAAATCGTCTATGTTGACTTCCGAGTTTGACGACTGAGAATGAGCACGAATGAGGTCTTCCAGTACATGAAACAAAGGCGTCGATATGTGTCCCCGTCGTCCCTCCGATGCTTAAGTCAGAGAGAGAATTTGCGAAAAGATATGTGCTAAAAATTATGTAAAAAATATGTACCTTGATAATGATTTGAAATGATATATTTATGGAGGAAGGTAGTGCATTCCTAATAGGATTACAATGTTGAAACCCATAGGAGTTTTAACGTGATTGGAAGTTGCAACTTAATTAATTTTGTATCATCCATATGTTTGGATAAGGATGAGACTCTGATGGTTTAATTCTTTCAGGATCATGTAACATATTAACAGTAAGACTCTATCTCTCTTAGGTTTAGATAAACCTTAACACGATGGAGAATCCTAATAAGTCGAGGGCTGTACGGTAAGAGGTTTAGTCGTGATCTCGAGAAAGACCTAGTGGCCGAGAATAGACAATCCCGAGAAGGTCACGAGGCGTTGAAGCCAAATTGGAAAGATACTCCTCGGGTCCCGAGCTCAAGCTCGGCCTACATTGTACTCATCAATATATTTGGTGAAAAAGTGAAGAAGATATCTTTCTCTTATTTTTGAACCGGTAGTTCTTTCTGCTAATAAAATCTTCTTTTTCTAGAAAAAATAAAATAAAAATTAGAAATTTAGATTTTGATAAAAGTTAATAAGATATATGAACTAAAAATTGTAGGTAAGATGAAATATGTGGTTGAAAATGAATTTTGAAAAATGAGGATCAAACATGGACTTAATTTTATCTATTTGAAGTGTTAGAATATTGATCGCAAGTGATAGTTAGTCACACATGTTATATTGACCTATCTTTTGTAATTAAATGAATTGGAATATCTTAGAAATGATTCTACCTTGATTAATTATGAAATGATAATGTTTTTTTCTTATTTTTTAAGGAAATCCAACCAAGACAAACGGAAAAGTAAACTTTCTGAATAATGTTATTTAGTAAAGGTGGTCCTTAATAACCATTTAAGTTGGAAATTATGGTCGATAGTTTCTAGAGGATGGGTGCATTCAATGTTGATGAAATTGGAAATAATATTGGTCCGGAAATTGGGGTGGATAGTTTCTAAGGTTTGGGCTCATTAAATTTTGTCTAAAATTGAGTTTGATAGTTTTTGGCTTAATTTTAAAAAGATTTGTTGGTTTGTAGGGTAATTTTCTGACAACTTAAAAATTGGGGTGTCATTTATGTAATACAAGGTGGGTGTTAGGTTTGCCCATTACAAAATTAATACATCACAAACATATATTAGGAAAATAGGCCATTGGGCCAGAGAATTGGACTACACTCTTAGCCCAGTGACCTGCCCTGAGTTTGTAGCCTAAATTTGTGTGTAAGAATTTGTGGTCTTGCTCATCCCATAACTTAAATAATTTGCTAAAGTATATAAATAATTGACTGTGATGTTTACTTGAAATATGAATTAGTTGTTGCTGATTATTTCCTCACACTCAAGTCTAATTGGATCTCATCTTAAAGTTTATGGAACTCACTTTAAAATTCTAGGAGTTAAATTCTCGTATTGCAATAAGAAATTATTTCGTTTCATTGATGGTTAGAGTGCTTTCTCACTAGTAAAAGGCTCTAAACTTGTTATAGCATCACCAACTTCCTCATTGAAAAGATTATTGGTGGAGTTGTTCATCGTTTCTTTTAAGCTTAAAATCTTTGAATTTGGGTCATTCTCAAATAAATAATTATGGGGTTGTTTGGGCTAAATATCATATTCTTGTAGAAACATCAATGTCAAGGGTATTTTGGACCTTCTAAACATATGGACCCATATTGTCCCATAATTGGTGAGGTTATCAACATGTCCAAAAGGTCCAAGAATTCTCGTTAGACTCAAAAATAGCCTCTTTCCATTTTATTTTTTAATTTCCCGGTGTTTGATTGCAAACCTGAAAAGAAAATAAGTTCTAAACAATTAAATTGACTAAAATTTATTTGTGTAGAAATTATTAATTAAATGTGTTTGATTTGTTTAATTTTTAACCTACAAAATATTATACTTATCTATCTTTTATTGGTGGGTAAATGAGAGAAATGATGGTAGATGTGTGTGTGAGAAAGAGAGAGAGTCTGTGAATTGTTTCGATGTCAAAAATCTACCCCTCCCAAAGAAACATTTTTCTTATTTTTGAAGAAAATATGATCACATGATCAATTTTTGAAATATATTTCACATGAAAAATGTCAATCAAATAATCCAAAAGTATGAAGTTTGGTGAAAAAAATAATATTTTTCATGAAAAATAAAATCAATTAAACACATTGTTATAATTATGTTATAATTGTAATCCTTTGATAGCCGGTAATTTCTGAATCGCTAGGGAAACACAGTTCACTTAATTCCTGTCGTTTACATAAGCTGTAATCCTTGAAGTGTATTTTCTTGGTGTTTCGCACGGGTTATTGTTAACAATTAAAAAGGGGATCAGACGATTATGTAAGGAACAAACCTTTTGAGACAAAATCCCAAAAATTGATGTTTTATTGATGAAGACTACAATTGGAAATAAACAGAGTGCCTCCAAGGGACGCAAACATACGAGTACTAA